AAAAAAACGATGAATTTATACGATATATATATTTATTTATTAAATCATGGATGAAACAAAATTTCTTTTTCTTTTTTAATGATAAGATTTATTTTGATGAACATAATAACGAAAGCTTCCATTTGAATTGGAAGAACGTAGAGTTGAAAGAAGTTTTGCTTTATGTTGTTGACATGCTTGATACGTATATCTTGGTAAATGTCGTTGTGAGTTATATTTAATAAACTAAAAATAATATAATAATCAATTAATAGATCTTCAAAAGATTTAAATTACTGTACTTTTTGTTGATTTTTATTGTTATGGATATTGAAAGATTGAAGAAGTTTATTGACAACATCATTGGGTGAATGAATATGCTTTGTATTTTGTGAATGAAATGATGATGTAGGCTTAGCTAATGTTGTAGTTAATTGTTTAGGTACATCAGCTAGATCTGATAAAGTAAACGATGATCGTGGACGATTAATTGAATGTGAATAAGATGGTTTATGTTCTTAAATATACAAATTCTGATATGAAAGATTTATTTTAATCGATACTAACCAATAATATCTGATGATGATGACGATGATGATAAACTAGAGGAAGAATACATTGGAGATCCTGAAGTTTTGACCGAGTTTTTATTAGTTTGTTGTTGTAATCGATATAAAAGTAATATTAAATCATCCAAATTTAATTTGGATAAATTAACATTATGAATTTTATTGAATAGAGAAATATCATCTTTTTCATTACTAGAAGTATTGACAAATTGAAGAAGAGGATCATCAATTGGTACATTAATTGGAACTATGTAAAAAAATGATACATTCTCATCAAATCATGTCTAAATAATGTTATCTACATACAATTGTCATTATTTGTGTAATCTGTTATCCAAACAATTCGAGTTTTAATTTCATTTAAAGGATAATCATCATCTGACCAATATGATGGTGATCGAATCATTTTCAAATTAAAACTATGTACGATACAGCCGAAGATAGAAGAAGACGAAGAAATGTGCTTGAACGTAACAAAAAAAAGGCGCAATATCTTCGCTATATGATAATGATTATTCGTTGTCGCAAAGACTCGATTCAATTTCTTTTTCGATATTTAACTTATCACGACATCTGTTCACCAAGAAAAACAACAGACTGTCATTAATTATAAAATTCAATTTTACATGCATAAATCTAGTTTTTCAAAATTATATTCAGTTAATTCACACAAGCAAAGATATAAGTATAACATTCGACGAAAAAAAATGTTAAATATCATTGTGAGATCAATGGACTAACACAAATACCAGCATGCAAAAAAAGACGTGTTTTATACTTAGAATACTTGATTAAGAATACAGAACCTTTAATCAAGATTATTACTAAGATAGCAAGTCAAAATGTCATAGAAAGAATAATTCATTGCTCATAGCCATTACTTTAAACTATTGAAATTTTTTTAAGTAAAGTAAGAATTTTGAATCTGTGAATATTTGTAGAAAGTTCGTTGAAAATATATATACTTTCAAATAAATCGTTATATCTATATTCTATGATGAATTAGTGACATCTATTTATTATTGTTTTACGTATTATTGTTGAGGCAATTCTGACGTCTGATATGGTAGCTGTCATATGGCTGTTTGAATGAATAGATGATTGAATGAGAAAGAAAGTTTCTTTTTCTTTTAACTCGACAACATGATTTTTTCTTTTATTTAATAGCAACATAAAATGTGACCTTCATTTTTAATAAGATAATAGATGCAAAACGATAATTTAATTAATTATTATTTTCTATTTAGATGTATATTCTATTTTGTTGTTAATTATTTGGGGTGTAACATCATTTGTTCACTCAATATAAAGAGAAATGTTTATTTATTTATAAAATATATCAATCTTAGTTATATTTCACACTAAAAACTCAATAAATTTACACTTTACTAATGGGTGGATGTGTTAGTCATGAACGCAATAGTCAAAGTCATCGTAGACGACGACGCCATTCACGTTCATCCCGAAATAATCCAACAAGTAATTATTGATTGATATAATTCATTTCTATTTCTTATTTTAACATTAGCTGGTGGAACTGTTGGTCGAAATAAACCATTGAATCGTTCAGCTTGTCGACCAAAATGGAAATCCGATGTACCAATTACAGAAAATCATTTACGTCGTAAACGCGAAGAATATTGGGATACAGGTAGATATTTTTTTGAAAGCAAAAAATAGATGACATTTTATATCTTTGAATCGGATAAATCATAGGTCACAGGCAGACAGACAGGAAATTATTATTATTTCGACTTTCTACTTGAATAAAACTCAAAGAAATCCAGGGGAAGGAATTATCGTGATAAATTCCGTTTATTAAAAATAGTATCAAATGACATTATTCGTATGTGAGAATATTCAAGAAATCCGAGAAAATTCATCGTATAATATATGACGTCATATTAATCTTGAACATAATCATTTGTTAATCGATCCATAGAAAATTTCTAATTTAATGAATCTTTATTCGAGGTCAAATGTCAAGTGTTTCTTTTATTATGTTCGCTCTAGAAAATATTAAGTGTTCTTATCAATATATATATATATAAAGTTTAATATGTACATTTTAATTGATATTACCGATTTTTCTTTTTAAGCTCCTGCGTTCGATGGTCGCAAAGAAATTTGGGATGCTTTACGTGGTGCATGTTATGCAATTGAACAAAATGATATTGATTTAGCACAATCAAGTAAAACATTTTTCTCTTCTTTGTGTGCTTATATATATGTTTAATTTGTTATTCTTAGTTATTAATTGTGCTAATATATCTCTTCCTCATGGAACACTTCTTGATTGTTATGATGAACTTGGTACACGTTATCAATTACCGATTTATGTTTTATCATCACCAACAAATATGATTGATGGTGAACAATCATCGATTGATTCTCGTGGTGATTATGAATCAGGTGCAAGTGATATTGGTCTTGCAATAACAGCAGCTACTGATCGTGAACGTGATTTTGGTGGTAATCAAAGTTCAACATCATCATCATCATCTTCATCAACAAATAATCAATATTGTACAACAACAAAATCTTCAACAGGACATCATAGCGGTCATAATCCAATAGTACGTGAAATAAAAAAACATCGTCGAAAACAAAAATTAAGTACAAATACAGATTCAGGAAATGATTCATCATCAACAAATACTACAACATCTCCATCAATTATTATTCAACAACAACAACCCATAAATATCGATCAAGATATTGAAATTCCAATTAAATTTCGTTTATCAAATGGTAAAGAACATCGATTATATTGTAAACAAAATGAAAGAATACGAAATATAAAACGACGTTTAGCGATGTTAGAAAATGGAGTTATTGATTCCCAAACACAACGTTTATTTTTCGGCGGAAAATTATTACGTAAGTTATCAGACTATTTTTCTTATGTACATGTAAGTCATGTGGTTAATTGTTTATTATACAAAATGATACTATGTAGAGTTTTATGCTAGATTAAATTCATCAACTTAACAAGTATGTCATCGAATACATCTATTCTGCATGGTTACTTCGATGAATGTGTTAATCACACATTAGATCGATAATATAAAAGAACTATTCAAGCTAGTTCATCGAAAGAAAAGATTCATTGGATTTACTAATCCAACCCGGAGTAGAGGAGAGAGGCTTAGTGTTATTATTAAATTTTGTGCAATACTTGTCTTATTGAATAGAATCTAAATATATCGGATAGGATGTTATTGCTTAAAATAAATCATTTAGTTATTTGGAGAATTGTTACATAGATTAGATATTTGTGAACGAGTTATTCTTATAGAAGGAGTACTTAAGTACTATACAATTAATTATTAAGAGAATTATTGCATGATATTTAATAATAAATATCAATTAATTAAAAATTTATATTATTCTTCGAAAAAAGAAAAAAATTCACTTGGGAAATGACAATGACTTGTTGAAACAATAATAAAAGAGTAGCGTGTTTACTAATAGTTTTACTTATGCAAGCCTATCAATTATGTTTATGCTATAAATTAACATTATCGAAATTATCAATCGTTTTCAAGAAGAAAAAAAAAACTATTTTTAGGTGATCGTTCAATTATCTACGAAGCTCGTTTACAACGTAATTTTGTTGTACAAGTTATTTTAACCGATAAACCAATTCCAACAACTACTGATCATTTACCAACTACTACTAATAATGATTTAAATTCAACATCAATTGAAGTAACTGATTTAAAATAAGACAATTTTTTATATATATCTTTGTACAAACGAATTCTTACTACTTTATTTTTTTCTCTGTCATCCTTCTATATGTTGTCATTAATTGCAATATATTTGTTTGTTTTCTTATTCTTTTTCCTTGAACAACCACAGTCAATATTAATTAATGTTGTATTCATGTATATTTTTGTTCGTTTTACAAAAAGAAAGAAAAAAATATTATTATTATTAACAGAAAGAATAAAAATAAATGTTTTTTTTCTTCTTCTTCTTTATTTTAGATCAATTTTCATCTATTTTATATTTTGTTTTGTGTTATTTTCTTCTTTCCAATATATATTATTATGTCCGATTTGTCAGATCTCGATCGCCAACTAGAACAATTACGTCGATGTGAATTAATCAAAGAAAGTGAAGTCAAAACATTATGTACGAAAGCACGTGAAATACTTGTTGAAGAAAGTAATGTTCAATGTGTTGATTCACCGGTTACAATATGCGGTGATATACATGGACAAATGTTTGATCTATTAGAATTATTCCGTGTTGGAGGTAAAAATTTTTTTTTCATATTACATTATTGACGTTGAATAAGAAATCGTTGTTAAATGATGGATGATATCGATTTTCGTTCTATTGGATAATGTATGTAAAATAGTCATCTCATGTTACATGTTAATATTATAGAAGTAGTGGTAGAAAGAATTTTTTTCAATTTGAATTAGAAGTGTTTTTAATAAAAAAGAAATTAGAATTTTGTAATATTAATGATTCCTTAGAAAAGCTAAGTTTTATTTGTACTTTATCAGTATGAAAAGAAAAGGTCATACCTGTGTCATTAGTAGTTAGTTTTAATTACTCATTCGTCCATGATTTAATTAATTGCTTATATTGTATTGATGCACTTATGAGCAGACAGAGAAGCCTAGTCAAGATGTTCATTTTTTAATTATGTTTTTTTAGACATCATAATAATAATTCTATTTATAGAGAAATAACTTTGAAAGGATAAAATAAACAACTTGAAATATTTTTTTTTATATTTATAGGTGATGTTCCACAAACAAATTATTTGTTCTTAGGAGATTTTGTAGATCGTGGTTTTTATAGTGTTGAAACATTTTTATTATTATTAGCTCTTAAAGTAAGATATCCTGATCGAATAACATTAATTCGTGGTAATCATGAATCACGTCAGATTACACAAGTTTATGGTTTTTATGATGAATGTTTAAGAAAATATGGTTCAATTATGGTATGGCGTTATTGTACAGAAGTTTTTGATTATTTAAGTTTATCGGCTGTTATTGATGGAAAAATTTTTTGTGTTCATGGTGGTCTTAGTCCATCTATAAATACACTAGATCAAATTAGGCAAATCGATCGAAAAATGGAAGTACCACATGATGGACCCATGTGTGATCTTTTATGGTAAAATTTATTTTTTGATCTTTTTTTTTCTATTTAAAAATAAATAATTTTAGGTCAGATCCAGAAGAAACTCTTGGTTGGGGTGTAAGTCCACGTGGTGCCGGGTATTTATTTGGAAGTGATGTTGTTTTACAATTTAATCAAACTAATAATATTGATCTAATTTGTCGTGCACATCAATTAGTTATGGAAGGATATAAGTGGCATTTTAATGAGACAGTATTAACTGTATGGTCGGCACCAAATTATTGTTATCGATGTGGAAATGTTGCTGCTATACTTGAACTTGATGAACATCTTAATCGTGGCTTTACGATATTTGAAGCTGCACCACAAGATCAACGTTCATCAGCAACAAAACGTGTTGTACCCGATTATTTTCTTTAAGAAATTTCTCTTAATCTATATGTATGTGATTATTTGTGTACTTGTGTGTATGACTTTTTTTTCTGTCCCGTATAATCGGTTTGGTTATTTGAAAGAAAAAGAAATAAGATACTAAGAGTATGTTAATAAGTATAAATATATTGTGCTTTCTTTTTCTTAATTATTTTCCGGATGGTTGTGATATAATTGTATATACTAAGACAAAGAAAAAGGGCAATATCGTTGTATATTGACTGACAGTGTATCTCTGATGAGAACAGAAAACATAGTGTAAATGGAATTTACCACATTAGTTTTTTTTTTCTTGAATGATAAGAATACGACAGGAAATGGAGTGGAGGCATCTTTTCTTCTTATTCCATTTCTCATATCAGCTAGCGCAAAAAGTTAGAGTCACTTCTAATAGAGCTATTTGTTCTTTTTCTTTTTTTTAACGCTAATTCCTGTTAGTAAGATAAGCACGCACAACAAGAAAAGAAAAGATGGTAACTATAGGAATCTAGTTAGTTGAATTTTAGTAGATGTAATATATTTTAACACTTATTTCATTCTCTCCTATGTCATAGAAATAAATGAATAATTCGATGATTATATTATCAACAAGATAGCCTATTTCATTCATCAGAAATAGATATAAACTAAATATTTTTTTTTCGCTGCTAAGTATTGAGGAGAAAATTACGGATCATTTATCTTCTTTTTTCCCTCTCTATATCACGAACAAAAGATCATATCAACAGGAAAGATATTTATCATTATAAGTTTAATATCTGAGTTAATCATATCAATCAAATACAAGGTTTTATCGAGACAAAATGATATAATCAATATATATATATTTTTCTTTCTTTTTCAGATGAATGAATGAATGAATGAATGATGAATACACTTTCAATACGTGATCTTTGTTGTCTTTTTTGTTGTCCACCATTTCCGTCTCGTATAGCTGCTAAACTAGGTAATTGATTTGTAAACACAAAATAATAAATTTTCTTCTTGTTCGTCTTCTAGCGTTTCTTCCACCTGAACCAACATATTCCTTACATGCTTCTGATATTGTCACACCATCCAATGGTACTATCGGTCAGAAAGAATCTTCATTATTAACGAAAAAAGCTCCATCTGATTCAAATACATCTATTCGATATACAATTATTTTTTCTGAAAAAGCTGAATGGCAACATTCACAATCAGATATATCTAAATTAGAACCTTATTTTGTTACAACATCACGACATAATCGGATTGCATGTCTTTATATTAAGTGTACATCGACTCCAAAATATTACATTTTATTTAGTCATGGAAATGCTGTTGATCTTGGTAAATATATATTATTTCATTTAAAAAATTTAATCTATTTTTTCTTTTTCTTTTAGGTCAAATGGCTAGTTTTTTTATTGTTTTAGGTACACGTTTACAATGTAATATATTCAGTTATGATTATTCTGGTTATGGTGCTTCTCAAGGAAAACCAAGTGAAAGAAATATGTATGCGGATATTGAAGCAACATATAATTCAATTAAACAAAGATATCATATACCTGAATCAAAAATTATTCTTTATGGACAAAGTATTGGTAAGAAGAAATAAATACAAGATTTGTTTTTTCAACAAATTTTTTTTTATATATTAGGTACTGTACCAACAATAGATTTAGCATCACGTCATAGTGAATGTTGTATAGCATGTATTTTGCATAGTCCATTAACATCGGGAATGCGTGTTGCATTTCCTGATACAAAACGAACATGGTGTTGTGATGCATTTCCATCAATAGATAAAATTCATCGTATACGTTCAATTGTTTTAATTATACATGGAACAGAGGATGATGTAATTGATGTTAGTCATGGTTTTGCTCTTTATAATCGAGTACATATGCAACATCAAATTGAACCATTATGGGTTGATGGTGCTGGTCATAATGATATTGAAGTAAGATTTCAATGAATTTCTTATCTCTCTTTTTCTCTAAATTATAATATTTACAGGCTCATGGTCAATATGTTGAAAGATTATTACGATTAATTAATGTCGACATTCCACAAATACATTTAAAAAATCAGCAAACAGAACATCAACAATTATCAACATCACCATCAACTCCACCAACACTTGCATCGACACTTATTATACCAGCATCGACAACTAATGGAACGAATTAATACAAGATCAGGGAATAAAAATCATTTTTTTCTTCTTCTAGCAACTGTGAATGTCAATGAGCTCGATATTTTGTTGTTTATTATAATGTGCAATGTGATCTGTACCTTTTTCTCTTATTTTCTCCTCAGATCTATATATATACATGTATATGTATTTGACAACTTATTTCTTACTCGAATGAACTTGTTTTTCTTTTTCTTACCTTATCTATCTCTATTTGGTCTTATGTAAAACGAGTATATAGAATTTATGATCTTTATTACTATCATTATGATTTTCTTCTTTTCTTTCTTTTGTATAAATACAAGACAAAATCATCGTTGATTTATTCAATGAAACGAGAATGTTTTCATTTTTTTCATTTGAGACTATTCAATAAATCATCTTGTTCATGGAAAAAAAGTACATTTCATATTCCTATCTTATTATAGGCGACATCTTTTGTTAAAAAACTGTTTTATAATTTTTGGGTCGCCAATCGACATTTAAAACAAGGTAGATAGACAAATCAGACGGATGAACAGTAATATAATATATAAAATGTTATATAGTACTGAACAAGACTATATAGTAGTCTCAGTTTTATCTTGTGAGTAGATAGAATATAATTTGCCATTTTTAAAAAAAAAAGTATTCATATGAGTCATCATTAAAACCACTTTTTTTTCTTCTTTCGCCATACTGTTTTTAATGGCAATCGTATCAAACTTATATATACACTTGATTCAGAATATTAGAGAGTTCACGTGGTGCTTACTTCTAGTCGGAAGAGATACATGAAAAAAAACGTATACTATTGTACTTTATATTTCCATTAAATCATAATTTCTTTTATAATATACAAGCAAAAAAAAACATATTTTCAGATTTTCTTTTTTTTCTTGAAATACAATATATCTTATGGCCACATCACAAGCATCATCTCCAAGTGGAGGTGTTGTTGATAATAATACACGCGATTTTTATCAACAAGTTTCAACATGGTTAAATGAATTTTTTCAATTAACACCATATACTGACATTGAATATTCAATACGTTCATCATCAACAACTATTTCATCGATATTAACTACAAGTGGAGGTACAGACCGCTCATATACACGTTCATTTCCATATGAACCAACAAACCGTATAAGTATTCCGTCAGCAACAATAACACCTATACCATCAACAATTATTGAACAACAACAGCAACAACAAAATTCGAGCCAGGATGCACCATCTGTTTATCGTAGTGGTTATATTCTTTCGCTTCATATGCTTTGGTTATCAATTGATCAAAAACTTTATTTATGGAAGTATCCAACAATGGTTGATTTAATTGAACTAGAATTTGATTCAATTGTACTTGCTTGTAATTGTGTTCGTCGTCGTAAATCTACGACAACAAATTTAACTAAAAAATTAACACATTCAACATCATTTCTTGGTTCATGGTTACCATCAGTTATAGCATCAACACCAAAATTTCCACCAACATTAACAACAAATGATCTTATTGAACATCATATTCATTTACTTATTATATTAACAAGTCAAGATATATTAATCTATACAATTGATGATCAACAAATAAATAATATACAACGTTGGTATACAACACCAACATTAAAATATTCATTAAATCAAATCGGATATTTTGATACATTATCAACATCAAATGAAAGATTTTTTCTTGGTGGACAATGTGGAGATATTTATGAATTTTTATATGAAGATAATATAAAACCAACATTAAATAAACTTGGACAAACATTCCTATCAAATTTAGTACCAAGTTTTCTTCAAATAGGTTCATCATCAAATACAAATTCATCATTATTAACTGTTAAACAAATCACAATTGATCATCAAAAATTTTTATTATATGCACGTTTAGCTAATGATTCAATACATATCTATGATATATCAACAGATAAAGGTCAACGATTATTTAATTATACCTTTGATGATTTAATTAGTAAACTTAAACAAAGACAAACAATTGCTCATGATGAATATCGACCTTTTTTAACTATGTATACTGTGCAATCATATGAATCAAATTTATTTAATTTAATATTAGTTACACACACAGGCATTCGATTATATTATACATTAATCATGCCAACAGTACCAACAAATTCAAATGTTGCTCAACAACCTCAACAATCTCGTCTTGAATTAATTCATGTACGTTATCCACCAACAATACCTAATTTACCACAAACAAATTCTCAACAACCAATATTTCGTACAGGTTATGTTGATATGAATTGTTTATTTTTATTTACAACCGATCCAAATCGTCCACAAACATTTGGTCGTATGATATTATTAATAAATTCGGATTCAACATTATTAACATCAACAACATTATTATCATCGAATTTTAATGATTCAACAATAAATCAACAACAGCAACAGCAACAACAACAACAACAATTTCAACAACGTTCAACATCAGAAATACAATCACAATTATTTAATGAATTATTTCTTATTCAAGAACAAATTTCATTATTAACATTAAATATTCTTCCACTACATAATGATCTAACACAAACTCCATTACATTTACCACGTATTGGACCATTAGCACAAAATATTCGTTATATGATACAAACATATGATTCAATTGTAACATTTGATATACCACGTTCAATTGAACATTTACGTTTATTACTTTTCTATGATCAACAAATTCATTCATTATTAATGAAACAATTTTTTACTTATTATTCATTACGTTATTCATGTTCAATGAGTTTAGCATTAACATTAACATCAGTACAAGATAATAATACAAATACAACACGTATTAATGATGATCGTTTACGTGATTTAGCATTTCAAACATTTCTTTGGTATTCAAGTTCAGCTTATTTACAATATTTAGAAAGTCTTCAACATCAACAACAACAACAAAATCAATTTTCATTAGATCAATCAAGATTATATCAATTACAACCGCAACAACCATTTAATCGCTCAACAACAATTGCACCATCAATATTTATTAAACAACGAAATTTTTTTGAACGTTATATTATACCATTACGTATAAATGCAATTTTATTTGTATTAAGTGATATATTGCGTCCAATATGGACTCAGACATTAATTGAATTAAAATCTTTATCAAAGCAAGATAAAACAGTTTATTATATATTTCATAAAATTTATGATTATAATGAAATAAAAATATTGTTAAAACAATTACAATATTTTTTAAAAAAATTAGCACCACATATGTGTTGTACATGGTCAAATAAAGATGATTTACCTGAATATAATGAACAATTAGCACAGAGAATCTTTGCTCAACAAAATGGTCAACCACAACAACAACAACAACAGCAATTATCAACAATGAATACAAATAATAATCAATATCTTCGATCAGCTTTAACAGGAGGACGTTTAAATGATCAACCATCACAACAACAACAACAAACTATTCATCATGCTCATAGTTATCCGAATATTTCAACTTATTCACAGACACCTTTCGGTATGTCTTTTTTCTCTTATGATATACTGAACTGTATCAAATATTTTATTTTTCTAGGTCATTCAAATGCATTGAATACATCATTAACTGGTGGTATTAATCCTGCTGCTGATTTTACTCTATCATCTCCATTAGCACCAACTGCATCGACTGGTTCACTTTTTAGTTCATCAATGAATAATCAACAAGCACCAGCATCGAATACACTTTTTCCTAATATGAATACATCAACACAATATCAATCATCAACATTGCCAACAAATTCTACTAATTCAAATCAACAATATTTTCTATCTGCAACATCTTTATCATCTATAACGGATCTTTTACAAGAAATTGATTATTACCGTACAATATGTCATATGATTGAACGTTTATCGGAATTATTATCACTTTGGCAAATTATAAATGAACATCGTACAGATATGTTAATTGAACGTTTACCTGAATCATATTTAACATTATTCAATGGTACAAATGGTCCATTTACAGTTCGAACATTACTTGATTTAGATACACTTTTTTATGATACACTTATAGCAGCATTATTAACATCCTATGAACAAAATGAATCCATATTTGATCAATTAATGGGTCGTCTTGTTGATGAATGTCCAAAATTATGTCCAATTGAAAAACTTATTCTATATAAAGTTGATTTATTTCTTAAACCATCATCAACATCTCAAACAACACAATCAATCAATGATCAACATCAACGTTTAAAACAAGCATGTCAATTATATAAACAAGTATGTGATCGAGTAAATATAACATCATTTGCAATGACATTATATACATTTCGTATGTATGATGAATTACTTGATCTATGTGTTACATCTGGTTCAAAACGTGATCCATGTAATCAAGCACTTAATTATTATTATGGACAATACGATGATCAACAACAATTTATTGATGTTTATCAACGACGTTCAGAATGTTATCAAGCATTAATTGATATACTTGAATTACTCTATCAACGTGATAGTGAAAATACATTAAAAACAACGGATGGAAGTTTAACATTAACAGAATTTATTCGTCATTGTTTATCCTATGATGATGAATTTCTACATGTTAAATTATTTGATTGGATGATGAATAAACATTTTAATGATAAAATTAAATCTTTTAGACAAATGACACCTTATTTAGAACGTTTTATAAGATATCGATTAAAATTAACTAATTTTAATGATTTTATTACACTTGATGTTGCTATTGCAGTACTTCAAGTAGTTAAAGATTATACAACATTATGTCAAGTAAGTAGATTTGAGGGTGTGGGTGTGGGTACTATCTCTTTCACTCGCACCCACACCGTGATTATTTAAATGAAATTTTTTTTTCTAGGTACTTCTTCATTTAATTGATTTATCCGATCCTCATGTAACATTTGCTGATCGTTTATGTTACTTAGCAGAAGCACTTCAAATTGCACGTTCAGCAAGTGCAACATTACTATCAACATCATCGTCATCTCAACAAATTAAATCTACAAATGATCGACAATTAACAGAATTAATTCCAACACTTGAACAACGTTTACAAACAGCATTTGTTCAAAAACAAATCTATACTGATTTACAAATGTATATGCGTGCATTAGAAACTCATACCATGACATCAACAACAATTGATGAAGAACTTCAACAATATATTCAACCCATACATGATTCAATAATAAAATTAGATTCAGCATTATTTGATGCAACTGAATTATTTGTTGATTATGCACAAAAATATGAATTATATGAATGTCAATTATTATTATTACAATTGGATGGTAATGAAGAACCAACTATTTTACAAACAATATGGCGACGTTTATTAAGAAAAGAAGTTAATGATTTATTTCCATCGACAACAAATTTAACTGGCAATAATAATTATGAACGTATTATTATTTTACAACAACATCTTATTGAACGTTTACGAAATTGTCGTAAAAAACGTTTACGTTTACCAATAGATTTTATTCGTAGTGAACTTAAACAAATTGTTCATACATTAAATAATCTTAGTGATAATGGTGATGTATTATCAGCTGAAGATTTTTCAAACCAAATTCTGTCAGATTTATAAAAAAAATTAATAAACTCTTGTTATAATGTATGAGTGTATGCAAATAGGACTATTTTTTTTTTGCTCTCTTTCGCTTTTCTTTGTGAAAAAAAAACACGTTTGTATTCAAGAAATAAAAACATAAAAGATAATGTAGTAGTCTATTCAAATGATATGACTTATATCACAAAATCAACTATTGGCCTTTTTATAATCTTTAATTGATTTATTAAATAGAAAAAGTTTTTTTTTTCTCCACTTGAATATTTCTGATAGATGGCACATCGAAAACATTAAGGATTTATTTTTTATTTTATCAACGAGATCTGACATATTCGTTTATGAATTTTCAAATCTCTAAACCGGAACACTTCTTTGTAATAATAGTTTTTCAATTGTGTCGTTTTTTGCTATGGGACATTCATCAACTTTACTTCGATGAAAATGAAATGCTGGATTAATCCATTTAGCACAGGTACATTTTTCACCAACAAGTGAATATCGACCAAGTTTTGCTTGACATTTCGAATTTGGACATTCAATTTCACCATTTTGTGTATCTTTATCATATACATCTGGTAACCAAGTCGGTTGTGTTGTAAATATTTCTTGTTGACAATAATCATTACCCTTCACTTCAGCATTTATTTTTGCTTTAAAAGCTGAACTACGTGAGTATAGATCAAATCGACCTATACCAGCAATATGTGTTTCAAGATCAGCATCAGTAAATAGTACTTGACGACAGATTTTACATTTATATTCTTTTGAACATGTATCATTTTTAGTTGGTGGAATAACATCATCAAAGTTATTTTCGGCTACTACCTGATCAGATGTTGATGGTTTATTACTATCAGATTTAGATGGTTTATAGGAATATTTCTTTGAATGATAAAGACGTAATTGATGTGCAAATCCAGGATTAGGATAAACACATGGACGTTTAGCTTTTAATTGTTCAAGTGCAGTTTCATAAGATAGATTATATTTTTTCATTAGATAAGCACAAGCAATTGTTGCACTACGAGACATACCTATAAAAAAAAAGAATTTATTTGTTAGAAGAAAAAAGAATGAATTACTCATACCAGCATGACAATGTATAAGAACATTTTGGTTTTTTGATACGGCTTGTTCAATAAATTTGTAACAAGATTCAAATTCACCAATTAAATCTGCTTTATGTGTATCATAAGAAAATACATGTTTACGAATATAACGATCATTTTTTTCACGTTCAGGATCAAAATGAAGTATTGTTAATATATGTGTAATATTAAGTTCATTCAGTGCTTGATGATTTGCGGATGAATCGATATCACCTAACCATATATGATCATCAATTTTATCTGCTGTAAAAACATTTTCACTGTTCGTTGTTTCTGGACTAAATTAAGAAAATTAAACATAGATTTTATGGAATTGTGAATTGAAATTCATACTTGTCCATTGATGAAATGAATACTTTACTAAATTTCGAAAGATATTAGAATATGTTTAAATCATATTCTTATTCTTACTTGCATAAGTTTTTACTGATGAGTCAAGAATAACGAATCGAACAATTTCTTCTAAAGATGTCACTCAATAACAAATACAGATAATTTCTATGACTGATATTGAAATGAACAATGTCGACAATATAATGAAATCATCTTAAAATTGAGTTTAATTTTACCTAAATCCTAATTCTACCTGACACATATAAATACATCAGATAATTTATGATCATCTGTACCATGATTTCCAACAACATTATCAACTGAGTTCCATGGAAACGATTCTAAACTATCAAATTGTACTTCATAATATGCTAAATCAAAATCTGAAGAATCTGGATATTCAAAACGATATTTATAAGTAACAGATTTAGGTTGCGAAACATTTCTTAACAAATAAAATAACATAAATTCAATTAAAATATGAGAATATTTAACTTTATTTTACCTACTAAGGTTTATGTTGTTGTACATAAATAACAACTGTATCTTGTGATTGACTTTCTTCTGTTACAAGACTTAATGTATGATATATTTTACCAATACTTAATAAACGATTATAATCAGTTTCTTTACAACCAGTTCGTCGAATTGAATCAACCACCTTGATGGTGGGTGTGAATGTGGGTGTAAATAAATAATAAACCCTCACACCTACAACCAAACCCTTAGGAGCCATCCATACACACATTCTTAAGATGGTTTTGCTAAAAACAAGTGGTACACTTAAATTTTGACATTGAGTTGACAGTGCGAGGGTTTATTATTCATTTACACCTACAATTCCTTGCCTAAACTCATTCTTGATACAGTATGTGTGTTTATATTTCAAGCAAGAAAAGAATTATTAAATTCAATTCAAATAACAATTGTGCTTCATTCACTTGTTTTCTTTACGTGACATATTGAATTCTAAAAGAATTCAATTGTTTTATCTAGCTAATTACTCATTTTACTAATGACGAAGCAAAGTGAAGCACTTTTTGATATTTTACAGATAGATGCTTGCGATAGGATGACTATAATAGAACAGGTTTTGCTAATCAGCTTTTGATTGTTCCAAATGATCTAAGTGACATTTTTTTGTCGAATTCCATTCTTCGTTACGAATCAGATAGAGCTAATGAATTTTATGATCATATTAATGCAACATAAAAAATGACACTATACGTATTTGATATTTATTATTATTCTGAAAAGATATACCATTTAATGTTCTCCAAAAAAATATCTAATTAATTCATTAAATATAATCTTATTCATTGTTTTAACGATAGTCGATGAAAGTGTTAAGACAAAAGCCTCACCCCCAACTTACTAAAATGATCATTTTTGAAATATTAATCAGGTTTCAATCCTATTTTATCGTTAGTTCGACATTTTATTTAATCATTTTCAGTTTATAAATAATATTTTTAGGGATGAAAACTACATTGACATAAAATGTTACTAAATAATAAGCTGAGAAATTAGTATAAGAACTTTTTTCAGAAACAACACTTTCGAAACTTGTGAGATTTTGTCATGATCGGGGGCTATGAATGTACATGATGAATAAATGTTTGTCTTCATTTTTCAACAGGTTAGAAATAATATCACCATAAATTCATAAAACTTCTCTTTCATTATCCGATAGTCTATGCAAAAGACGGAAAATGCTGTTCTGTTTGATCGACATTTTTTAATTAATTATTAAATCGAAGAGGATACTATATACCAATAGATTAGAAGAGTTTTGAAATAATGAAGAAAAATTGATTATTGATGAATTAGTCGTCGCCATCGTTTGATCGATTCTTGAAATGTTTTTCTGTACAATTCCGAAGGAAGGACAAAGACAATAAAGATAAGCATCGATGGAGTAAATGAAATGAAATAACCAAATATAAATAACAATTGATGGTTCGATGGATTGACACATTCTGATAACATTGACATTATCAGACGAGGTAAGGACAGAATTAGAAGAACAATTGGACTAATTAATAGTTGTTTGTGTTCATTAAATTGATTATAAACATGTTCTCTTAGAGTTCGTCTTGTTTGAGCTGCTGATCGTTGTCGGGCTGATCCGAATATGATGAATAAAGCAGAACAAAGATTGATAATACATGGAGCAACAAGATGAAAAAATAGTATAATTGTATTGTATCGTTGAACAGAAGGAGAATAACGAGTTAAACACCATCTATTGATATCTACTTTGTTCGTCTCTGTAATTATCTCACGCAGTTCTCGATGTATAGATTCGTGAATGATTGAACCCATGACACACAATGGTAAAATGAGAATTATCCACTGAGCAATGCGTTGACTTTTTTGTTTATTGAAGTTGATTCCATTGAAAACGAGAATCGCTCTTTCAATGGCTACACAAGCATTGAGCCAAGCATCCAAATAAAGGCAAAGCTTGAGAAGAGGTTCGATCGACACACAACCTCCTCGTACAACAGAAAGAGAAATCGATAGATTCATTTGAGTGAGAACAACAAACCAAAATTTCACTGTAAACATGCTGATTGTAAGAAAAGACGTAATTGATGATGCTAAGAGATAGATGCCACATCCAGTTTGTCGTAAGTCTTTATTTTGAAATGTTATTAGAGACAAAATACTATTGATAAAACCTCCAACAAACATAACCATCGTTACAGCGGCATTTATTTTCAGCAGTGTTGTTTGATCAGTCATTGTCATATTCGGCCGAATTTCTTCACGTAAAACATCATCGAGAGTAACACCGATACTTTTTTTGTAGAACTGACATTTTTGACCGATGAAACAACTAGTCAGATTTTGAGCTGAAGAAAGAAATTTAAGGTCATTCAGAGATGAGATCAATCTTTCTTAACTTAACAAAGTCGCATGTGGGCACAAATTTATAAATAACAGTAGTGTATAGAAGTCATTAATCTATACATAACATATCGTGTCAAGATTAGATTTGTATATTCCTATGTTCTATTTAATGCCTCCTGATAAATCTACTCATTTTTGAAAGATGTTTCTGCATATGAACTCGGTAAATTATCAAAGACTGCAAAATGATAAGATCTCAATTAGTGAAATCACTAGAGAATAGGTTTTCTCGAATATATCGTTGATTCGAGAAGAAAGGTTGTATTAATTTACTCAACTGGTTGAACTCGTACAATCCATCTGATCACGACTAAGCTACAATACTGAGACTTAGTATTATCTAATTGGAAGAAAACTACCCTTTTCTAAAAGAAGGAGTTTTGATGTGATCCTGTATTTTGACAATAATTCTATTTAATTATACGATCTATTCGAAATTCTGAAATCATTTTTTAACAAAGAGTGGAAATCGAGTTCAATGGAATGTTGTACTTCGCTGTTATTGATTTAAAAATAATACAAAATACTTACTGTAAGGATTAAGAGTGATGTTATTCGGACCAGATGTCCAAATAGAAAAGTTTCCTGTCTTGTTTGGAGAAGATGTTGTCACCACTAATATGTATATAGTGTCAGTGTGAAGATAAGCGATGAACGTGAAATTGTAAGAAGCACACTTTCGATATTCCTTCGACTCCGAGAGTAGATTCTCGAAAGGATCCAATGGATTAAAATCATCTTTGTAAATATCACCATATGTCCCCATATCGCTAAAACTACTCAGAACATAGTATCCAATTTCCATCACATTCATTCGTATAGTTTGATAGTAATAATTTGATTCTTGACAATCTGGAGAATATGTTTGACTATTCTTTGTCAACTCTGATGAGTACTTCGATTGTACGAGTGGTGGATAACCTACATGATGAAAACAAAAACAACAGTCAAGATTCATGATAGATCTTGATTGACTCAGAGAAACATGAATCGTTTAAACGTAAGAACGAAAATTAAGCGTTACAAGTCATCTCTCGTATATCCTCAGTATCGGAGAACATGACGATTTAAAGCCTACATGTCTAACGAGACGGTTCTTTGTAATATTTCTCTGAACGGAATAATAAAGTTGTAAATGGAGAGCGAGAATAGAATCTATAAACGTTTTTCCGTACTTAAAACCCTCGATAATGCATATCACGAATGAGTTTAGAATAACTTCTTTATTTCGAAAATGGGTAATGCCCCAATGTTTCAGAAAGGAAAAATTGTCTATTTATAGTCTAATTCTCTTACTATTGTAATTATTTCAAAAATTAAAATACGTAAAGATAGCTTTTAGGTTCATACAAAATAAGAATATGTTTGCAGCATTTTTTATTATAGGGGCATTGAGTAATAGAACATGCTGTAACACAAAGCAAAGTTTTTTCATTTGATGGTAACTAGCAGGGATTCATACCGATTTGTATATTATTCACATCAGATTAGCGATCGATTGAAAGGGGTCTGTATTAAGGGAGATTGATCTGATCCTGTTCATAATATTCTGTCACTTGATGGGTTTAATGTAGCTGCTTTTATAAAGCTCTCTTCTTATGGTAAACAAATCGTTTTACAAAACAAGTCTTTATTTGTGCATATGTCAAGCTCAACTAAATACTGCTGTTAATGTTGACAGATATTCATTTAATAGTTGTAATGAAAATACTTACTAATACTCTTGAGATCAACATTATTTGGACCGGATACAAAGATCGTGAATGCCCCTATCGAATCATTGCCATACGCTGTCGCAACTAATATATATGTGATACTGTTTTCAAGAGCAATTGTGAGTAAAAACTGACGTTGATTGCAGCTATGATCATTGTCATCGAGTCGATTTTCCCTTGGATTGGATGAATTGAAATAATCTTTATAAATAGAGCCGTATATGTCAATATTGCTGTAGCTGAAGAAATTGTAAATGCCGCCTCCACGAACATTCACTTGTATCGCTTCATAGTAAGAACTTGACCAGGAACAAAGACGTAAATACGTTGAACTGTTCGTGGTCAATTTTGATGCATAAACTGTTTGCACAACTGATGAAGCATTCACTAACAAAAAAGAAAATCGATTTAATTTTTTATAATATGAAAATAAATGTAAAAAATTTCAAATATTACTTTTTCTGTCAGATACGTCCACCAAAAGCGACTGGAAGTGATATGAATCTTAGTCTCTATCGAACAGAAATATCTGTATATTATTTTACAGATTGAGTTTATATATATTTTCTACTGATGATGGATATGTGCAACTGATTATTCATTAAAATACTATAAACACTCACAAATACGATTGAAAGCGATATAAGTTCGGCCAGATACTTGAATTGAAACATTTCCTGTTGTATATGAAGAAGATGTTGCCATAACGAAAACGTATTTCGTGTTGGCTTCAAGAAAAGGTGTGAATTGAAATTGCCCTTGATTACCAGAGTCTTCACTATGGATGGGGACATTTTTGGACATATGGAATGGATTGAAGTTATTTGTATAGATATAAACATACATGATTTTCATCGTACTGTTGATTAGAAAAGTATAATATCCAGTCATAGTGACATTCATTTGCATCGCTTCATAATACGAATGTAACCTTGAGCAATCTTGAAAATAAATTGAACTATTTCGTGTCAACGATGATAAATATATTGTTTCTATAACTATTGAATTATCTATTAAATGAAAAAAATTAATGAGTATTTGTATCCACAATAAAGAAAAGTATTCTTAGTTTGCTTTTCATTCTGTTTACTAATGAGAGTTGAATCGTTTGTTTTAG